CCTTCCCCCGCCTGCAGCGGCTACGGCACCAGCGAGGCCGGCGAGCTGTACTGGCTGGTCAAGAACATCTGGAGCCCCTACTGGGTGAGCGCGGCGCGGCGAGGCGCCTGGCGCCCGGCCCGCGCCCGACAGACGAGAGATGCGCCGGCGGCTGCCCCGACCACCACCTCCGCCCTTTGCCTCCTCGCCGCCGCGCACCGCTGCGCTGCCATCTCACCCACGCACACACACACACCCTCAACAGCAGTGGCCCGCTTCCCGCCCGTGCCGCCGCCCCCGGCCTGCAGGGCGAGAAAGGATACATGCGTGTGGCGCGCAGCCCCAACGACTGCGGCGTGGCCTCAGAGCCCCTCTACCTGGACCTCACGGTGTAGGGGCGGGCCTGGAGGACTGGGGTGGGGGGACAGAGCAGGCAGGGGAGGAGGCGGCGCGGACGGGCACGGGCTGCCCAGCAGGGGCGGGACGCTGGTCGGCACCAGGGCCCGCCACCTGTCGTCATCTGTCTTGCCCTGCTGCTGTTCTGTGCTGTGCCGCCAGAGCAAGGGGCGGAGCCTTGTTTAAGCGACCCTTGTTTAATTACATCGGGGACAGGTGGCGGTATGCCAGGGCGGGGGTACAAGCGATCCAGGTAGTTGCAAGCAAAATGGCGGCGCACCGACGGCATCACGGCGGGGGGGGATGGCGACGGGAGCACACGCGCGGTCGGGGCGCGCCCAGCACAGCCGCCCGCAATAGCAGGGGCGCGGCTGCTGTGTGGGGCAACGGGTCCTATGCCTAGCTAGCTAGCGGGGGAGAAACAACAACACGGATTGTGGACTAATGCTGACGGGGGCAGGGTATCTGAGGGCGCCTGGGCCGGCGGCCAGTGCTGGGGGAGCCGCCGCCCGGCTAGTATACAGGAGAGCAGTACGCGGTACCTAACCTAGCCAAAACCAAGAATAGCTATCGCCTGGTCCTAGTGGAGTGGGGCGCCTGCAATGGCAGAGGCGCAGCCGCAGCACGGCCAGCTGGCGCCCGCTGCCGCCTGGGCCCCTTGCTGGCCGCGCCCCCAGGCGGGGTGCGGGACGGGGAGCGCGGCAGGCTGGGCGTCCAGCTGGCGCCGGCTGTACCCTCGCTCATCTCTCGCGGCGCTGTGGCGCCCTGCAGCCCGTCAGTGGGCCGCGCCGCTGCGCTCCAGCGGGCTGTGGTGCTGGTAGCCGGGGGCGGGGGTGAGGGAGGGCGACCTGCACGGCGGCGTGGGTGGCGGCGAGTGTGCAGAGGCAGCAGTTGTCAGGTCCCGGCATGTCAGCACGCGGCTGGGCAGCTGCGTGGGCAGGCAGGGGCAGCAGGCGAGGGCGGGCGGGCCTGAGCGGGGGCGCGAGGCGCACCTGGCGGGGCTGGGGTGGGCGCCGCGTGCCGCCGCCTCCATGGCGCGGCGCAGGGGCACGTGCTGCTCCTGCTGCAGCCACGGGTGGCGCAGCATGTCTGCCGCCGAGGCGCGCTTGGCGGGGTCAAAGTGCAGCATGGGCAGCAGGAAGTCGCGGAGCTGCTGGGCCTGCAGGCGGGGCGGGCGGGCGGGGAGGGCAGCGCTGAGGGCCGGCCCCACGGGTGGACACCCGCACGCACACCGGCGGCGCTGCTGTCCCACCAGCACACACGCCGCAGCCTCCTCCTGCCGCCCAGCAGCGCCGCGCGCCCTCCCGGCTGCCCGGCCGCTCGCTGGCGCGAGCGGCCCCGCAGGGGTGCACCCCCACCCCTCCCTGACTTCACCCCACCACGTGACTGGCCCCCGCGCTCTGCTCACCTCTGCTGCGGGCAGGAAGTACTTCTCCTGCAGCACCTGCTCCAGCGGCCACAGGTTGAGCTCGTCGATGTTGCGCAGCGCGCCGCCAGAGGTGAAGAACTCGGCAGAGTGCTTGCCGGCGCCCGCCACCTCGGCCGGCATCGCGCCCAGCAGCTCAATCATCTGCGGCGGGCGGCGGGGCGGGGCAGGTTGCAGAGCGGGGCCAAGGCTGGGGGTCCACGCGCAATGGGTGGATGGAGTGCGCGCGCCAGCGGCTCTCCAGGCAGGCGGAAGCGCAACACGCGCGTGCCCTGCCCCCGCACCCTTGCCTCCTCTCCTCCGCACCACCCACCCAGCCGCCCCACCAGGCACCCTGCGGTCCCGCTGGCCCCCACCTGAGCCAGGTGGTCCTCGTCCTTGCTGTACTGCCCGCGCGCGTTGGGCTGGAACAGAAAGTCGCCCGTGACCAGCTCAAACACCATGCAGGCCAGGCTCCAGATGTCGGCAGAGTCGTCGTAGCCGGCGCCCAGGATGACCTGGCGACAGGCGGGGTGGGGTGGGAGGCGGAGGATGAGGGGGTGGGTGGGTGGTGGCGCTGGGGGCGGCGCCCTCAGCCATGCCCATACACGCGACAGCAGGCAGCGCATAGGCTCGCGGCGTGCGCAGCGCCGGCAGCGCTCGACTGCCGTGGCCCTCCCGCCGGCGGCACGCGGGGCCCACCTCTGGCGCGCGGTACTGCCGCGTCTGGATGTTCTGCGAGAACTGGCGGTCTGTCCAGCAGGCGTTGCCAAAGTCCACAATCTTGCAGCCCATGCGCAGCAGCCGCGGCTCCAGCTCCTCCTTGTCCACCTGGCGCCAGCACAGGGGGAGCGGGCGGGGAGGGGAGGGGTGGGTGGGGCACAACACAGGCGTGCGGCGCCACGCGTGGGTTGGGCAGGGAAAGGCGGCATAGTGCGGTGCCACGCGCGCCCCAGCACCGCGCTGCAGCGGCTGACAGGAGCACTGCCCTTCCCTGGCCTGCCATCCCAATCCCAGGCGCCGCCCGCCCACCTTGAGCAGGCTGCTGTTGGGGGTGCCGCGCGGCTGCACCGACTCGGTCAGCATCACATTCTCGGGCTTCAGGTCTGCAGCGGCAGCACAGCCACATGCATGTGCATGTGCGTGCGTTGCGAATCATGCCGGCCAGCCAGCCAGGCAAGGAGCCACAACCACCGCAGGAAATGGCGGTGCTGGGCATGGCTGGCGGGGAGGGCGCCCCCCTCCAAGCGGCCTGCGCCAGCCCGGGCGCACCCGTGTGCACAATCTGGCACTTGATGTGCAGGTAGTCCAGGGCCACCAGGGTCTGGCGCGTCAGGTGGCGCACAATGTGCAGCGGGATGCCGCGGTGTTCGTACGCCCTGCAGGCCAGGCAGGCGCAGGGCGGCGGGTCAGCTGGCACAGGCTGGGAGGGATGCACGGCAGGGTGCTGCTGCCTGTCCGGGCCTCACCAGCCACCACCCAACACATTGGGCTGCCCTACCACCCCCTTGCACACCACCACCCCCGCCCGCACGCCCAGCCACCCCACCTGATGAGCGTGAGCAGGTCGTCGCCCATGGCCTCAAACACCTCGCACACGTGGCGCCCGTGCGGCCCCGTGTGCTCAAACTGGTCCAGCAGGCGCACGCAGTGGTTGGCTCCGTCGGGGTCGTTGTCGCGGATCTGGGTCAGCAGCGTGACCTCGTCCCGCGCCGCCTCGGTGTAGTTCTCCGCGCTGCGCACCACCTGCTCGGGAGGGACGGCAGGGGTGGGGGGGTGGGGGTGGGGCGCAGGGGGACTAGTAGGGTGGTGAGTGCAGACCAGCGGTGGCAGCGGGCGGGTGGGCAGCACAAGGACATGAGCTGCACATGCTTGGGGATGCCAGGGCGCACGCACGACTGTTGGCAACGCACGCCGGGCTCGTGCTACTGGCAGCCTGGAAGCAAGCCGGTGAGCTGCGCCACCTGCCCCTGCCCACCCACCTTCATCGCCACCTGCTGCTGCGTGAGCGTGTCATGCACCATCCACACCGTGCTGTAGTGGCCCTGGCCTAGATAGTGCAGCACCGTGTAGCGCCCGCTGTTGAACTGCTCCCCCACCTGCACCGGGTGGTAGCCGCCTGCAGGTATGGCAAGGGTGCAGCACAAGTGGCGGTGGTGAGGAGGCGGCGGTGGGGAAGGCAGCGTGGGGCATGAGAGGCGAAACGCCTGTGCACACACGCCAGTTGACGCACGCAGTCCGGCAACGCCACCCCGCCCCGCCGTGCCCCGTTGCTGCCGTGCCCTGCCGCCGCACCCCGTTGCTGGAGGCGCTGGCAGCAGGCTCCCACCTGGGCACATGGCCTCGTCAATGGCCGCAGCCGCCTCAGCGCCCATGGCCACTGCTGTCGCCGCCTGCAGGTTCTTGGCCAGCTGGTTGGCGCGCCACTCGGCCTGGTAGGTGTGCCACTCCTGCTTCAGGTTTTTGGTGAGTTCACGCATGATGTTCAGTGCGCGGGTGTGGAAGTCGCACTCGGCGCGATACAGCTCATACTCGGAGGTGTAGCCCAGGGCCCCGGCCCGAGAGACCAACAGCGAGCCGCGAGGCAGCGTCGACTGCTGCACCGGGCTCGACTGGATGTGGGCCATGCCGGCCGAGTGCCGGGGCAGCGCGGGGAAGGCCCTCATGGTGCTGCTGTTGGGATGGGGGCCCAGGGCCACGCCCAGGCCAGTTGTTTGAGCGAGTTTCATGGCGGGGGGGTGGCAATCACAACAATGCGCGTCCAGAAATGCAGGGGCAAGCCAGTCGCTGACAACCAGAACCACGTTTTTTCAAACTGCCGTCGCAGCGCCCATTTCATGCCACAACAACAGGCCCGCCAGATGGGCCCTTGGCCCGGCATTCCACCCTCCAGCCAGGGCCCCGCCAACATGGGCGCGGCTGGGGACGTTGGGGCCCCTGTAGGCAGCCACCAAAGCAGCCTGAGGCCCGCCAACCATGAGGATGATGATTGTTGGCATCCTCAGTGGTGGCGAGCCTGCCAGCCTCCCCCTGGCCAACCAGCAGCCTCAAAGCACACATTTCTATGGAGGAGTGCACGCCAGGAGCCCCTGGGTGAGCCCCCTCCCAGCTGCTGCTGGACATGCACTGCTCCAACTGTGGCGCACGGCGCAGCTGCCTTTGCCCCAAAACCGAGTGCTCTTTGGGCATCCTCGTGTCAGTGGCGTATGCAGCAGCGCCCAGCGCTGGTGCACGGTGGCGCGCTGCCAGCGCTGGCGTGCCGGCAGGAAAAGGCGGCAGCAGAACGCTATTTGAGTGCAAACACTTGCCTTGGGCTTTGCTTCGCCATCTGGTGTGTCTGCGCCTTGCCCTTCTTCTAACGCGCGCTCGTCTGCCGCCGCATCTACTGCTGCTGCTGCTGCATTCTGCTGCCACTCCTCTTGCCCCTCGCTGCTGCTCGGCTGGTCTGCCCGCAGCCGCCCGCCGGGCCTGAAGGGGGCCAGTGTCTCTGCCACCGCTGCTGCATTCCAAGAGCCATCGCGGCGGCTAGTGGAGTGATGGCGCTGTGGCTGAAACCCGCTGCGCCGCCCCCCAGGGCGGTTGCCATCCATCTGTGACGTCCACGCCGCTGCCGCATCCCCGCCGCTGCTGCCCACGCCAGCCGCTGCTGCTTCCTGCTCGCAACCATCCTGATCGGTGGTGGCAGGGGGCGCGTGCTGTGGTAGCAGCGGCGGACGGCCCCGCCGCCCTCCTGGCCGCTGCGCCTCAAGTTGCTGCCGCTGTGCTGCAAGCTGCTGCCGCGCCGCTGCCAGCTTGAGCAGCCGCGCGCGTGCGCTGCTGACTGCAGAGCACACAGCAAGAGCAGCACTCAATTTTGCTGCTTGGCGAGGCGGGAGGATGTACAGACTACCGGCATGCGTGCGATTCTTGCCACCCGTACCTGGCTTGTTGCCAGCACCATCCCCTCTACTTGCAGCATTCTGCAGCTCGGCTGCCGCGCCTGGCCAGATTAGGTGTGCAGCTATTAGGTCGGCGCCTGGCGAGTGGTGCACCAGCCACCGCGGGAGCAGCGGCGGCACCGACGCCGCCCCCAGGCCTCCCGGGTGTTGCTGCCAGCTTGTTGGCCTGGGGCCGAACTTGAGGCCTGGCATGCCAAGGACGGGTCCTCAGAGTGCCTCTGGGCGTGCAGAGGCGGGGATCCGGTTCAGGGGATTGGAGCTCCCTGTCTGCCTCAGGAGCCCGCTGCCGCAGGAGCGCGGGTAGAGAGACGACGATCGTGATGGCGCACAGAGCACCGGTGCACAAAAGGCGAACTTCCCAGCCAAGTTTTCCACCAGGCCAGCCAGGGGGCATGTGTTGGAGGTCTTTGGTCATGCATAGCCCATTCGCCGCTCCTCTCCCGCGACATGCGCCATCGCTCGTGAACGGAATGCAAAGGCGTTTCGGAGAGTGCGCGGCTCCCAGCCACGCATGTGGCGCATGGTCACTTCGGCGCCCAACCTACCCGGCTTTCAGCGATCTCAGCAGTACTAACCAAGCCCGTTTTCCTTATGGCAACCCCCGCTCTGCAGATGGCGGCCTGCGCCGGGCCGCCGCCGGTTGCCGCCACCGCCACCAGTTCAGCTGCTGCAGTGCCTACTGCGGCGTGGGTTGCTGTGTGTGTGTGCATGGCTACCTGGGCGGCTATTCATGGCTGGGCATCGCAGTGGGGCGTGTAACCTGTTGGCCTGGCGGTATCCTCTGTACTGCACTGCTCTGGCAAATGGGCGGGTGGGTGGCTGAAGCCACGACGGCGAGGTGTGCCGTTCTCTATTGATATCCCCATCACCACGACTTGTTGAGAGCTCTGTAGCCGCCAGTGGCTTCCTACTATAGTTGGGTGCCCCCAGAGCTCCCCCACAAGAACTTTGCCGTCTCACGGCACGACCAAACAGCCAAATATCGCCGAACGGATCACTTCACGAGAGAAACAGTCTCCGCTCGCGGCTGCAACCCACGCGCGCGCAATCCTTTTTGCGAAAGCAATCAAACCCCTGAGCGTTGCTGAGCCTCTCAATACAAGCCGAGCCTTCTCGATACAAGCAATAAGCAGGCATTGCGAGCAGCCTTTGAGCGAGTCGCAATGGCTCCCATTACGGCCGCGGCGGCGGCGACGGCTGTGGCGGCGGCGGCTGCGCTGACGGCGCTGGGGTACAGAACCACAGCGGCCGAGGCTCTGCGCGACGCTGACCTGTCTGGGAAGGTAGCAATCGTCACTGGTGAGCAAGCCGTTCGCTGAGTGCACCAGGCCTGTCGGGGAGCAGTGCAAGATGTGCGACCTTCCTGCCTGGCTTGCAGGCGGCAACTCGGGCCTGGGGCTGGAGACTGTGCGGGCTTTGGCTCGCGCTGGCACCGACTGCGTGCTGCTGTGCCGCAACCTGGAGGCGGGGCAGCGGGCGGCGGAGGAGGTGCAGCCGGGCGTGAAGGTGCGCATGTCGCTGCTTGCGCCGGCTGCCGGCCCATTGCTTGCGCGTCACCCTCCCACCCCGCGCCCTGCCCAGCCATGCCCGCAGGGCAAGCTGCTGGTGCGGCAGTGCGACCTGGCAGACTTGGCCAGCATCAAGGCGTGTGCCGCCGGCCTGACCGCCGAGCTGCCCACCATCGACCTGCTCATCCTGAATGCCGGCGTCATGGCGCTGCGGCCCGTGGCAGGCCAGCCCCAGCGCACGACCGACGGCTTTGAGATGCAGGCAAGCAGGCGCCCGGCAGGCAGCGGCAGGCGCCGCTTCAGCGCCCTCTCACCCCTGCTCCCCTGCCCTGCATGCGGGCGCAGATAGGCACCAACCACATCGGCCACTTCTTCCTGACCCAGCTGCTCCTGCCCAAAATGAAGGCCCAGGTGCGCCGGCGCAGGCCACGCCCGCCTCGTGGTTTGCGGGCCCTCCACGCCTGCCGCCTGCTGCCGCTGCCATCCGGCATGACCCAACCCCACCTAACCTGGCTGCGGCTGTGGCGCGTTGCGTACGCGCGTGCGTGCAGGGCACCCCCGGGCGCGTGGTGGTGCTGTCCTCCTCCGCCTACATGTTTGGGCGGCTGGACCTGGATGACCTCAGCTTTGAGCGCCGCCGCTACAGGCCATGGGAGGGGTGGGTGCCTCAGCACTGCTGGCAGCGCTGCCCCGTGCGCCCCCATGGAACGCTCCCTCTTGTGTGTGCCCATGTGTGTGCCCCTGCCCCCCACCACCCCACCCCACGCAGGTACAACCAGTCCAAGCTGGCCAACCTGCTGTTCGCAAGCGAGCTGGCTCGGCGGCTGAAGGAGGAGGGCAGCGCCGTCAAGGCCTACAGCGTGCACCCAGGCGCGGCGGGTGGCACGCGTGCCTGCTGGCCTCCCGCTGCTGGCCCTGACCTCCCGCACCCTCGCACCGGCTGCTTGCCGCCTTCAGCCGCCCTCCTCACGCCGGCCGCTCCTCCCCTCCCCGCTGCTGCTGCCCAGGCATCATCAAGACCAACATCGCAGGCCACATCTCAGCCAACTTCTGCACCACCTGCTTCTACGCGCTGGCAGGTGCGCGGCCGCCTGCCGCTGCACCTCGCACACGCTGACCCCGCCACCCTGCGGCCATGCTTCCGATGATGAATCCACTGAGCCCCATCGGGCACCTCCCCCTGCTCCCCTCCCGCAGGCCCATTCATTAAGACGCCCAGCCAGGGCGCCGCCACAACCGTGTATGCCGCCACAGCGCAGGAGCTGGAGGGGCAGAGCGGGGCGCACGTACAGGACTGCCGCGTGGTCAGGCCGGCGCGGCGGGGGCGGGACAGCGCCGCGGCGGCGGCGCTGTGGGACAAGACAGAGGAGCTGGTGCGGGCGGCGCTGGAGCGGGCAGGCATCGCCTGAGCACGTGATTGCGCTGTTGCAAAAAGAGAAGCTTGCAATGGCCGCCAGCCATGTCACATGAAGCACCCCCCGCTGGTTGTCCCGCTGTTTTCAAGTGTGAAGCGATCTGCAAGCTTGCCGCTTCAGGCGCGGCCAGGCCTGCCGCCCTGCCCTGCCCGCGCTGGGCCTGCCCAGCTACCTGCGCAGCAGCAGGTCGTAGTGGTTGGACCCGCTGTACAGCAGGCGTACCGCCTTGCGCCGCTTCCCCGCCTTGGTCTTGCTGTGCTGCTCGCCGTACCGCTGGATGGCCACAAAGCCGGGGCGCCCAGAACTGCGCGGGCGGGTGGCAGCGCCGGCGTGCCGGGCCGCTCAGCGGGCAGGCGGGGAGGCACAGGCGGTACCATAGGGGTGTTGCTGGGTGCAATGCGCTGCGGGGCACCAGTGCCCCACGCACCAGTACCCCACGCACCCCGCCGGCCCAGCCTGCCCGCCGCGGCCCACCTGCCGGCCTCGCGCGAGGGGATGTACACCAGTATGGGCACCCGCAGCATCTGTGACAGCACCAGCAGCTCCGGCTCGCCGCCCCAAAAGGCGGGCGACAGGATGCGCTTGCAGTAGCTGCGCGCCGGGGTGGGGTGCAGGGAGGGGGGTTGGCGCATCCATGCAAGGCCCTAGCGCGCGGCAGGCTGGTGCGGCGGGGGGCACGTGGGTGCGTGGGTACAGCGCCTGCCACTCCCATCCCTACACTCACGCATGCACACCGCCACACGCCGCCCCCGCACCCTCCTCTCCCTCCTCTTCCCCCTCACTTCTGCATCTTGTCCTCGGCCTCCACAGCATACACAGCAGGAGCAAACTCGTTGCGCCGCGCCGCCGTGCGGCACAGCGCCTCCGCCACAGCCAGCCGCAGCTGGTCTGCACCGCAGCCGGACGGGAGGGCAGAAGCAGGCAGGCAGGCAGGCAAGGCGGGGCAGGCAGGCAGGTAGGTGGCGCTGGCGGCCCTGGGAGCATCTCGCACGCAGCGCACGCAGCACCGATACTGGAGGCAGCCAGCACGGCGAGGCCCCGCCCCTGCCACGCAAGCTCACCCGCCTCCTGCTCCTCTGCAGCCTGCCCCAGGAAGCGGCCCTGGTTGCGAGCCAGTCCTTGCGCCAGCGCCCTGCAGCGCCGCAGCAGCACGCATATCAAGCCAGGGAGCCACGCAGCGCCGCCACGTGCGCCAGAGTGGGCGGCCTCACCGGAACATGCAGCGCCCGTCGCCCGCCACCTTCACCACGCGTAGGCTGGTCTCTATCGCGGGCCCCGCAGCCGCCCTGCAAGGACGGCAAGAGGGCTTGTGGGTGTGCAACGGTGCGTGCACAGGTGAGCGCCGGCCTGTGGAGGCGCACCGCAGTGCAGACGTGCAGGCAGCAAGCGAGGAGCTGCCCCGCTGCCCCTGGTCGTTCGTGTGGTAACCCTGGCAGCCTCACCGTGCCAGCTCAAAGAGTGGGACTTGCGACAGCAGGCGGCGCGGCGGCTGCTCCGCCGCCTGCTGCTTGCCCAGGAGCGACGAGGTGAGCGATGCAAAGCCGGTTGCCGCCCCTGGCCGGCCTCCCACCAGCTCAAAGCGCGGTTTACCTACAGCACTTGGCTTTAAACGCGCATGAGGAGGTGGGGACATGGGGACATGGGGACATGGGGACATGGGGAGGTGGCGGCCGGCCTTCCGCACAAGGCCAGGCGGGGCACCCTTGAGGTGCTGCTTTGGCACATGGACATGCAGGTCAGTCAGGTGACAGGCGGCGGCAGCGGCGGCGGCGGTGCAGCACCTGCTCCGTCCGTGCGGGAGGCATCGCCGATGCTGCATTCCTTGCTGGGCGCCTGCTTCTGTGCAAAGAGGGAGCCGGCAGGCACGGCAACGAAGCGGGGCTGGCCCATCGGGGGTGCAGCCTGTCGGTAAGCTTTCCGTGTTGGAGACAATCAGTCAATGGGTCTGCAAATCTGTCTGAACTCCTGCTCCTGAGCAGGACTCCTGAACACTCCTCTGCCACCTCATCAGCCAATAGATCGCTTCTTCGACATCCTTCTGATCAAACCATACCTTCAAGACCTCACCAACCAATCAGTGTGTCATATCTGAGGGGTGTGGTACACAATAGGACGCTCCTGCCCACCGTGGGTCGTGTCCCTCCCCTGCAGCCTGCCCTATGCGGCAGCCCACAGCCGTTGGCTGCTGTTCCGGCAGCAGAGGTGCAGCATGCAGTCCGGCGGCACCGCCTCACAGTCGCCAGAGGCCAGCAGCGGTGCGGCAGCAGCAGCGCCTGCGGCGGCCGGGCCACTGCGGTGCCGGGCAAGGCCTGTTGGCTGGGCAGCACCAGCAGCCGCTGCCAGGGCGGGCGCCGGTGCAGGCGCACGCTGCAGGCAATGCGGCAGGGGAGGATGGGGGTAGCAATGGCAGCAGCCCGGCGTCGCCGCCACCCGCCCGGCGTGACGTCTACGGGTGCGCTGCGTACCCTGCCTGCACTCGCTGCGTCGCCTTGGCAGTTTGGCATCCGGCTGGCTTGCACGCCCGCAATCTCGGCCTTGCATGCCACGCGCATCACCAGGGCAGCTGGCTGCCGGTGTCAGCCGCCCCGCACACCCCCACCTCTGCCCAGCTGCCCACCCCGTGCCCCGCCCTGCCCTGCCTGCCTGCCCTGTACGCCTGCGCAGCATCCCCGACGCCGCCCTGGCGAAGCAGCTGGGCCTGAACGAGGCGCTGCTGCAGTCGGTGATGCAGCTGCCCGGCACGCAGAACATGGTGGACCTCAAGACGCGCCTGGTCAGCCTGGCCGACTGGAACAACAGCCTGCGCAAGTGAGTGGGGGGCTGGGCGGGGCTGTGCCCTGCTGGGGCGGCCATCAAACGTGGCAGGGAAGGGGGTGGAGGCGCGGCCCCGGGTGGGTGCAGGGAGCAGGGAGCCAGGGAGGCTGGCCACCGGTCCGCCGCTCACGGCCGCCCTGCCGCGCGTGTGCGTGCCTGGCCTGGGGGCCGCAGGGGCGTGCTGCCCAAGGCCTCCTCACTGCAGTGGCCGGAGGAGCCCTTCCGCTCCCAGTTCCTGGAGGTGCTCAAGGGGCTGGAGATGGCTCGCTTCACGCGGCGCCACCCCAAGCTGCTGCCGCCGCTGCTCAGCCAGTTCATGCAGCTGGTGTCGGTGAGCGGGCGCCCGCGGCGGCCTGCGCGGCCCGCGGGCGCGCGGCCAGGGCGGCTGGCCGGGCCGGGGAGGCAGGCATCCTCCTGCGGGCGGGCGCCTCACCCCCCCATGCCCCCCCGCCTCCTGCCGCGCGTGCCTCCCCGCCCCTGAGCGCAGGAGTTTGAGGCGCAGCTGCTTGAGGAGGAGGCGCAGCAGAAGCAGCAGCAGCAGCAGCAGCAGCAGCAGCAGCAGGCGTCCAAGTCGGAGGGGCAGAACCCGCAGGAGCAGCAGCAGCAGGGCGAGGGCGAGGGGCAGGGGGAGGGCGGCGGGGAGCAGGACCAGGCGCCGGACGAGGCAGACATGCAGGGCAGCAGCCAGCAGCAGTCGGATGCGCAGGGCAAGGAGGGGGAGCAGCAGGTGCGCGGGCAGGCGGGCGGGCGGGCCGCGCGGCACGCTTGGCGGCCGCCAGCCTGACCCTGCTCCGCCCTGTGCAGCAGCCCCTCTCCCCGTTCCTGCCCCTGCCTCCCTGCCTGCTGCGCACCCCCCACCAGCTGCCCATCCCAGCCCAGCCCGCCACCCCGCCGCCAGCCGCCCCCCGCGCAGGACTTTGACGTCGACCTGGAGGATGCGCAGAGCAGCCAGGGGGAGCGGCCGCAGGACCTGAGCGACCAGGCTGGCAGCAGCACGGAGCAGGTGAGGCGGGTGGGCGGGTGGGCTGGTGGGCTGGCTGGCACTGCTTGGTGCCCTGCCCCCCTGCTGGGCTGCCTGAGGGGCGGAGGGGCGATGCCTGACGCTCGCCACCCCTGCT